TTGTTACCCTGCCTGGGGCTCGGGATAAAGGGTACAAAACAAGGACTGGTTGGCTCGGAGTCAGATTTATGTGTCTGAGTGGGGTATCCATAACTGTGTCAGTAGGTTAACGCTATGAAACACGCATCCCTGAATTGTGCCATCTTTCAACTGAACACAATCCAAATCACATATTCTCAATGGGCGGTCGGGTAGCATCGTGGTTAAAGCGTTCGCTCGTCACGCCGAAGACCCGGGTTCGATTCCCCACATGGGTACAATGTGTGAAGCCCATTTCTGGTGTCCACCCCGCCGTGATATTGTTGGAATATTGCTAAAAACGGCGTAAAACCATACTTACTCACTCACTATCGTGGCACGAAGCGTGCTTACCATATAACCGGACAGAGCGCTACGGCAAGCGTATCCACTAGCCTGAATATGGTACACATTACGTCCCTATATAAGCGCAATTATCTCTAACGCGACGTTCAACCCAATTTCACCTCTCCTCATAGTCCTGCACCATGACCGTGGAATATATTTATTTTATGAAAAAAATATATCTAGAAACGCATTCAAAAGCAAGTCTAGCTAGCTCAAGCTAGCTCTATAATCAGCATAGGGAACTGTTTTTATTTTTAGAGTCAAGAAGGATAGTGTTTAATATAAGATTTCAGAGACTTAATGTTAGTCTACTCTCCTCACCTCACCATCATATCACACTGTATAAAACACGCCCTTTATTATGATGCCAGGGCTGGGGTTGTTCGAGATGGTTAAAGTTTATTTTTAAAGCGATCTCTTAAGGATGTAATCATATCCCCCAATTACCCCAGTCAGCTGTGACATTTGGTAAAGGGTTCATGAAAGAAAATTCGATTTTTCGATTTTCAGTTGTCAGTGTGTTAGTATTTCAATCTACGGTTGCTATTTCTGTGGTAGTGTGGTATGTATGTTTGTTTTTCGGAATACGTCGATATTTTAATCCCAGCCATTGACAGAAATATCTACTGAAGGACAGGATACTATTTAGTTGCATAGCAATTCACATAAACAACCAAGCATGTCACGTAAAATATAAATTTTTAAATTAATTTAACTCTCAATTTGACTGAAATCGTCTTTTTAAAAGTGATATAAATTAAAGCCTATTAAAGATATAAATGATTTGTCGTAACTAAATGTTGATAAATATACTTGCAATGTGGTAATAAATATACTTGCAAAGTGGTAATAAATATACTTGCAATGTGGTAATAAATATACTTGCAAAGTGGTAATAAATATACTAGGTATGTGGTAATAAATATACTTGCAATGTGGTAATAAATATACTAGCAATGTGGTAATAAATATACTTGCAATGTGGTAATAAATATACTTGCAAAGTGGTAATAAATATACTTGCAATGTGGTAATAAATATACAAGCAATGTGGTAATAAATATACTTGCAATGTGGTAATAAATATACTTGCAATGTGGTAATAAATATACTTGCAATGTGGTAATAAATAATTGCAATGTGGTAATAAATATACTTGCAAAGTGGTAATAAATATACTTGCAAAGTGGTAATAAATATACTTGCAAAGTGGTAATAAATATACTTGCAAAGTGGTAATAAATATATATTCAAGCCAACAACTTCACAACTTTATTAACACGATCAATCAATGTGGAATGATTGTTATTTTACCACCACTCTTCATCACTTTAACACCAATTATCATCTTTTCATCTGAACATACATGTATTATACACGCACATACATGTACTATATACGCACATACAAGTACTATATACGCACATACAAGTACTATATACACACATACATGTACTATATACGCACGTACAAGTACTATATACGCACATACAAGTACTATATACGCACATACAAGTACTATATACGCACATACATGTACTATATACGCACATATAAGTACTATATACGCACATACAAGTACTATATACGCACATACATGTACTATATACGCACATACATGTACTATATACGCACGTACAAGTACTATATACGCACATACAAGTACTATATACGCACATACAAGTACTATATACGCACATACATGTACTATATACGCACATATAAGTACTATATGCGCACATACAAGTACTATATACGCACATACATGTATTATATACGCACATACATGTACTATATACGCACATACAAGTACTATATACACACATACATGAACTATATACGCACATACATGTACTATATACGCACATACATGTACTATATATGCACATACAAGTACTATATACGCACATACATGTACTATATACGCAAATACATGTACTATATACGCACATACATGTACTATATACGCACATACATGTACTATATACGCATATACATGTACTATATACGCACATACAAGTAATATATACGCATATACAAGTACTATATACGCACATACATGTACTATATACGCACATACATGTACTATATACGCACATACATGTACTATATACGCACATACAAGTACTATATACGCATATACGTGTACTATATACGCACATACATGTACTATATACGCACATACATGTACTATATACGCAAATACATGTACTATATACGCACATACATGTACTATATACGCACATACAAGTACTATATACGCATATACATGTACTATATACGCACATACATGTACTTATATACGCACATACATGTACTATATATGCACATACAAGTACTATATACGCACATACAAGTACTATATACGCATATACATGTACTATATACGCACATACATGTACTATATACGCAAATACATGTACTATATACGCACATACATGTACTATATACGCACATACATGAACTATATACGCACATACATGTACTATATACGCAAATACATGTACTTTATACGCACATACATGTACTATATACGCCTACTATGTACATATATTGTTACATTTGCGCACATATATGTAATATTAACGCACACAAAAGAATTTTTTACGAACATACGTGTTCAATTAACGCGCGTAACAAACCGTAATATTTTACGCACATCAAGTACTATATATTCACTTAACAAGTAGTATACACGTACTACTATTTACGTATTAAATGTTACATTTACGCACATATGATATTTACGCACATCAAATAGTATATACGTGCATAACGCACGGATTATTATGAGGGTAACGCTATTTTTCAGGGCATTGTTTTTTTGCAGAATTTGCAGATTTCACTATTGAACGTGACGTAACCTTTCCCTATCCCCATGACGTCACCTAACAACGGGCTTGATAATAGGCCGTCGTCAAGCAATATGAGGGCATTATCAAGTTACAGTTGCCCGCTCATTTCTGATAACATGCGGGCGGTTTAATGATAATTATTCCATTTTAGCTATAATCTGTGATATCAGTATACTAGTTTATTACTAGCCATATAGGGGCGGTTGGGTAGCCTAGTGGTTAAAGCGGGTTCGATTCCCGACACGGGCACAATGTGTGAAGCCCATTTCTGGTGTCCCCCGCCGTGATATTGCTGAAATATTGCTAAAAGCGGTGTAGAACCATATTCACTTACTCACTCACTCACGCATATGGGGGCACGGGTAGCCCAGTCGTCCGAGGCGCCGCGATTCGTCCCTTGGGCACGCCAGAAACCTATGATTATGGGTTCGAATCCCGGTTCGCCGGCCCCGATTATGTTTCTAGGTTTGTCAGCACCATACCCGTGCTCGTGGGTTTCACCGAAGTGGTAAACATCTGAGACCAGCATCACTTCGGGCTTTCCTGGGGCGGTCGGGTAGCCTAGTGGTTAAAGCGTTCACTCGTCACGCCGAAGACCCCGGTTCGATTCCCGAAATGGGTACAATGTGTGAAGCCCATTTCTGGTGCCCCCCGCCATGATATTGCTGGAATATTGCTAAAAGCGGCGTTAAACCATACTCACTCGCTCACTCGGGCTTTCCTCCCACATTAAGCTGACACGCCGTGATATAACTGGAATACTGTTACTCACTTAGACGCATATAAAAGTACTGAATCCGGATCCTATGTAATTATTTACAATTACGAACGAACGCATGGTAACTGTTCCTGACACACACTACACTCTAGTTCTGCCCAGAGGCTGTGGTGACCTTACAAATCTGCCCTGCCGCTGGTGTTAGCGTTCGGTCGCTAGATAATGGTCACCACAAATGTCATTCAGAGGCAGACTGTTTCACACAGAGTAAACATACTATTCTCCGTTATTAATTGTTTCAATAGAATTACTGCAACAGTTAACGCAGTGCAAGAACCCCTGGACGTACGGTGTTTACGATGGCAATAGCTACCCAAGGGCTTAAGAGATGGTTATTTATACACCAGTATTGCCAATAGGTCAGTGGGTAAAGGGGTTTATTATAGGACTCGGTATAACGTATTTCCATTATTCGGACAGTACAAGAAAGTAATTATGAATATAAAAACATCACGTATCCTCAAAACGTTTATACCAATTAATGTTAAAACCATGTGACATAAAAAAAGTTGTGATGATGTATTAATTGTTCGATGTCGTAACAATTGTTTTTTCCCTGTAATCAAATCATTTTTTTTAATAACATGCCACAACCTGTGGCGCAATATGTATGTTGGCTAATTAAGTAAGCTATTACCACTGTCGGATCGAGTTACAAATATGTGTACATACATTCTGTTATTCAATGATCACAGATATATTACCAATGGATTGATCGTCCTGACGTCAGAATGTGAACGTCGTCAATCTGGACTTCAGTTTCGTTGCGTGTCCAGATAAACGAGTGTCCAAAACGAGGAATGTTAATATAATAATGTTCCGAAACGAAAACACCTTCAAAGTGATGTCAGTTTAGGGTTAATATCAACACTGAAGTCACTATATTTCACGAGCCCTTTTCACATGTGCAGATGCATATCAATACGAAACTGTTACACCGTATAAAACAGTGTATCCGTAACATAGTAAGGGCGATACCCACTGCGGGCGAGTGTACTCACCGTCTTGTTGGAAAAGCACCTGGCAACCAGATATACTTGAGTCCATGGAGCGTGGTATTTTGAGTGAATTCGACCCAATTCCCGTTGCAACAACATTCGACCAGCGAATTCCTTGGACGAATAGGCTCAATGTCCGTTTTCTCATCGTAGAGTCTGTTCTTAATGACCAAACCCGGGTCTAACTCCTTACCGTTTTTCACGTTTGCCATACTACCAGCCATGTTGCTCGTTACAATTTCGCTTCAACAGTCCTCGTACAGAAGCACCGCTGATACATCGACCGCTCACACGCTTTGAGTCAGGCTGGTTTAACAGGTCAGATAGATGTCGTATTTAACCGCCTGAGTATCAATAAAATTGACTGAACAGTGTATATAGTCAATATGTGTAGAGTCTTAATTAATATTGGTGGAAATATCAGTTATGAGTTTTCTGTGAGTGGGCGACTGTTGATGGTTTTTCAGCTGTCCGCGGGACAAACGATCCTTGGTAATTGTCGGGGTCTTGTAAAGTTTGAACAAATTTTAATTATGGGTGTTGAGTGTGACGTTTTCAGCTAGTATATACCGGAAATGTGACTTTTGGTATTAACGTCCAATCTCATTGCACTGAATGTCATTGATAAATGGTATTTTTTAGATTGTGTATGCATTTTTATATGTCATTGTGCGTCTACGATCATTATGAATATCATATTTGCTATTATATTCGGATTAACATTTTGTAAAATATTTATTTATATATATTTATATATCTAGTTTGCATGTAATGTTCCCAATGAGTTTAAAACATATCAGGGGGCACGGGTGGCCCAGTCGTCTAAGCCGCGATTCGCTGTGCAGAGTTGCGTCCCTTGGGCACGCCAGAAACCTATGATTGTGGGTTCGAATCCCGGTTCGCCCCGATTATGTTTCTAGGTTTGTCAGCACCATACCCGTGCTCGTGGGTTTCACAGAAGTGGTAAATGTCTGAGACCTGCATCACTTCGGGCTTTCCTCCCACATTAAGCTGGCACGCCGTGATATAACTGGAATAGTGTTAAAAACGGCGTTAGACCCAAGTCACACACTCACTTAAAACATATCAGTTGGTGGGGAGTCAAATTTCATCACCGCTGCACTGTGCTGTAGTCCACATATTAACTTTGCATGGTGACACGACGCAACGGTAAACTACCATAACGACTTTATTTGAACGAAAGATCCTAGATTTGTAAAGGATCCATATTTTTTATCTACATGTTGATTAGGGTGTGTGGAAGTTCCATGTAGTTAGTTGGATCTGTGCATAAAGATTCAGAGTGACCGAACACTCTCCACAACATTTCACAACTTTTGAGATACAATCGAGCATGCTCTTTCTACCAAGATCTCAAAGAGCGTCAAACGACTCTTGCTCAGAAGTTGTTTGATCAAGGTTACAACATTCATGGCCTCAGTACAGCTTTAGAAATGTTTTATAGTAGACATGTGGGGGACCTATCCAAATTTGACGATTTTATCGGCGTGGGGGGGGGGGGGGGGGGGGGGGGGGGGGCAGGTTTCGCAGCTAGCAGTTTATTCTAAAACAGAGTGATTATTTATCAGAATTCTGATTTGTTCCATTTTACGGACCACGGGTAGTTCTGTGGTTTATGACGAGTTGCGTCCCTTAGTTCTACCAGGATTCACTCGATTATGATCCATGGTCCGTCAGCACCATACGTATGCTCGCGTAATTCGGAATACTTAATTTAAAATATGTTCGTCAAATTTCAAACAAGCATCGTGAATTTTCAAATTAGCATTTGAAGCCTCGGTGGCTGAGTGGGTTAGATCGCTGACTTTGTGTGCTGGCGATTAAGTGCCTCACTCTGGCAGTGTGGATTCGAATCCCGGACGGGACTCAACCCAAAAAGGCACGAGAATCTGTACTTTACCCAGAAAGTGTTATCCCAAATATAACATTTGTCACATAAATATATTTCTTGCATTTAAAACTATACCCAAGATACAGTTAAAATGTCTTCAATCATACTGTATAATACTGTAAGTTTCGGTGTGTTTTCAATGGCATCTGGAATATAATACGATACATGGGGATAATATCCCCCTGGATGCCAGAGGGACATATATGTCCCTCCTCTTCAACCCTCACTTTGAAGTCGAATATGTTTTAATTCTGTGGGAAATTCCCTCTTCTGTGATATCATCCACTGTCAGGCAAAGCGCAATTACTGAAAATGACCTGAAATTAGATACATCGTAAATGTCGCCTTTTTTACGCATTACTAAATCACGATTCACGGCGTTATTAACAGCATATTTTGAAATCTAAATTTCGTATATTTGCTCAGAGAAATGAATTTCACAAATATTAGAATTTTAGAATCAAAAGATAAAGGGTCTTTGTCACTTTTACAAAGTGTCCAGATGAAATCAAGCAAAATATATAAGGTGTGAAAATCGAACGCTGAGGTAAAAAAAAACTGCCCTTGTTGGTATTGTAAACAAAGCAAAATTCAGATTTTAGAATGTGTAGCATTTTCTCCTATGCTGTGCTATCCATTCGTCTATTCGTTGCATACATTGGCTCAAAATTTTCAGAATATGCACGTGGAGAGAACTGTAGAAAGAATTAGGGAATTAAGAAAAGACACAATGCAATGATTTAGTAAATTCACCCGAAATCGTCAAAGTTTCTGTCATGCGTGACGCCATGACTGACGCAAAATCACGCACAATGACACGGTATTTATAGGAATATTTTGTTTTCAAAGAAAAACATAAAACCAAGTAACAGTACACAGATTGTCAGAATGTTTCTGATTACTTACATGTCACATTTATGTATCTCCGATCCCTGAATCAACGAAAATCCTCCTCTGGAAATCCCGCGTACTGTTGTCAGTGAACACGCCATTTTGTAAACATATTTCTTTCATTTAGATAGGTGTTAGAAGATGAAATGTAACTGCAACATGTACGTATTCCTTTGGAGTGTAATAGTCAATATTGTAATTTCATATAAACAGGTTAATGAATAGCCGTTTTATTTTATTTTAAAACTTAAGCTGTTATATTACTTTAAAAATGAATGATATTTTCTGTTAAAATATATGCACACATCTTCAGAAGAATTGTCTTGGATTTTTTTTATGTCGTTTGATAGAACGGTCATGTCGAAAGATTCGCAAGGTGCGCGTTAGTCACAAACGATTAACGAATTATTTCTCTCGTTTTGTATCAATGGGTTCACCTTTTTTAAATATTCTGATAACAGGATATTAAACTGTTTACTTTATTTCTCCAAAAAATGTTAAAAGTATAAAATATATAAACCGTGATATGTACCCCGTCGGTCGAACCTTATATATACGATTATCCTGATAGTTCTATACCAAAGGAGCTTTCTTCGCATATTTTATTATATAATTCTGAGACGAGATAAAGAGAAATAATCACATAATAATGAACAAAGACATGTCCAATATTAAATTTTAAATATTAATTTTGTTTGGTTCGAAATATTCTTTGGGGTATTTGATTACGTAGAATTTATGCCAAACAGGTGCTTGTCTTGACTAATTAAGATACACGGTAAACTGTCTAATTGTTTATATATTCAAGATATTATTTACATTGTAAAAGCAGTCAAATTCCGTTTTACACGTCGAGATTTTCCATACCATGAACGAAAATTAGGGGCGATATATAATAGTCAAAATATCAATGTCGTCTTTCTTCGACGTTGTTTGTCAAAGACTGCCATGACGTCAAATAAATGGTGCCATTTTTTTAGTAATTCTTTACATTTGATGAAAAGGCTAGTGCTCCATTAAAAATCGTGCAGCATTAGTTAAATTACGCATGTACAATCAGGAGAATGTTGGATTGTAAGGACTAATTTATAGGTTAGATAGGGCCATCCATTTCAGTATTACTTCCGTTTCTATAAAATACGATTTCATCATTTCTTATGGGTCTTTTTATACCTAAACGTATACAGTTTCATTATCGATATTTGTATTGAAATAGTTTGGTTCCTTGTAAACAAAACACCACGAAAATATATTATCCTTATCCACGGCTAATTCTCACCAAGTGACCTTAGTTACAATAAACTAGTGCGAAGCATAGCGGAGTTATGCCCCCTTTTTCTTTGTGCGTGCGTAGTGAGTGAGTGAGTGAGTTGGTTTTAACGCCGCTTTTAACAGTATTCCAGTTATATCACGGCGTGTCAGCTTAATGTGGGAGGAAAGCCCGAAGTGATGCAGGTCTCAGACGTTTACCACGTCGATGAAACCCATGAGCACGGGTATGGTGCTGACAAATCTATTAACATAATCGGGGCGAACCGGGATTCGAACCCACAATCATAGGTTTCTGGCGTTTCTGACGCAACTCTGCACAGCGAATCGCGGCGCCTTAGACGACTGGGACACCCAATCGTCGCACAGTACTTTTATCGGTGTACGATAGAAAGCGGGGAAATTTCCTTTTTTTCAACGCAGAATAAATTCTCGGACAACATTAAGCAGTGTCTTGTTTCAAACCAGTGTTTTAATATTTGCAGTAACAACATCAGATAGGAAATTAAATATTCTACATGTCTGCGTAATTTCAGATCTTTTTAAAAATATGCATAACTCGCCTTTGTGTGGTGTGTGTGTGTGTCTGTGTGCGTGTGCGTGTGCGTACGTGTGTCTGTGTGTGTGTGCGTGCGTGTGTGTCTGTGTGTGTGTCTGTCTGTGTGTGTGTGTCTGTGTGTGTATGTGTGTGTGTGTCTGTGTGTGTGTGCGTGTATGTGTGTATGTGTGTGTGTCTGTGTGTATGTGTATGTGTGTGTGTCTATGTGTGTGTCTGTGTCTCTGTGTGTGTGTGTGTGTGTGTGTGTCTGTGTGTCTGTCTGCGTGTGTGTGTATGTGTGTGTCTGTGTGTGTCTCTCTCTGTGTGTGTGTGTGTGTGTCTGTCTGCGTGTGTGTGTGTGTGTGTGTGTGTGTGTGTGTGTGTGTGTGTGTGTGTGTGTGTGTGTGTGTGTGTGTGTGTGTACTGTGTGTATTGCGTTTATGTGTTCAGTCACTGCTCGGTAGGTTCGGTGCTGTAGGGTGGGTAATTTAACTGTACAGCCTTACTTAGCCCCCAGTGACTATTTCCTGTTCCGGCAAATGAAATCTGCCCTACGTGGAAGACGCTTCCAGGATGACGAGGACATAAAGGCTGCCACAGAGGCGTGGTTAGAGGGCCATTCTGCGGATTTCTATAAAAGTGGTATTAAAAGCTTGAAGGACAAATGTAATAAGTGTATTGAGGTGAATGGAGATTATATTGAAAAATAAAAGTGCAAAAGATATTCTGTGACTTGGTTTATTATTGATGTTGCAAAACTTATTGAACGCCCCTCGTATTATCGTTTGTTATGTTTTTTAGTGTGAAAGACTGAGTTTTCCTAAGTTGAGAAAGGGATATTTAC